AAGAAAAATAAATGAATTTTACCTACAAATATTAAAATTCACATTATTAGTATTTAATATGTCATATAAACTTTCATTTATATCACATATCATTAGATTGCATATGATACATATAGTTAATCGTGTTAATTCGTGTCACTTCGTGTTAGGAGATCAAACCTAACCCAACCCATTTATTAATCGTGTCAACCCGATTACGACCCAAACTCATTTATAGTAAACCCAAACTCACTAATTTCGTGTGGGTTTCTAGTCATGACGCTATCCAGATTACTAGCCCTATTTTAAATATAAAATTCCTGGCCTAAATTCAAAAAAATAAAGTATAGTTAAGTTATATAAACACAACTTTAACTCAAGTTATAATTCAAATTCAACTCAAAATTTACACTCAAGTCACTATAACTCAAAAATGGAAACAAACAAACCCTAAATCGACACGTGCTCGACTCAAATTGCCACCGTCCAAACCACAAACCACAGTTACTCATTTTCAATATTTACATTTTGAGAGAGAGGGTTCTTGTTATTCTCACCAAGGCCTAACTTGTACCTTGATATAAAGCCTATAGTGACGCGTCTATAGCTCACTATTTCTCGCTATTGCTAATCTGCTCGCTATTAAGACCTCCCTAATATGTCACTTGAAGCTTTGTCAGGTAAGTCGAATGCATTACTTCTTTTGGAAACACAATCCGAATAGTGAACGGCTTACTGAAGTACATTTGCATACACGAGGTCTTCAAAGTCCTCGTCAAGGACCAATATTCGTCCTCGCAGAGTAAATATTTTTATAGGTGACACCAGACAAATATGACAGTACATATTTTCTATGTTCAAATCGCCCATTATCATTCATCACCGTCCTCGTTTCAGTGGAGGAGATTTTTTTACGGTTTCTTCGAAACTGTGCCGTTCCTTTTTTGGAAAGATCAGAGATGAGAGATCAACAGTAAAAGAGACCAACTTATAAAGACGGGAATACACACAACGAATAAACAAATGAAAAAACAGATGGCAATAACAACAATAAAAAAACGACGAAAACACGAAGAAACGACAATTTTAATGAGACAATCTGGACAACGACAACAATCACAAACAAGAGTAAACTTTAACTAGAAACGATATAAATGGAAAAATGCACAACCCAAAACGACGCTTGACGGAATGACAACAGCAAAAAAGAAAAAAAAAACAAAACAAAACATAAAGGCGACAGGAACTTAAAACAACAACGGTTAAAATTGACTAAAATAGAAGAACACGTTCAACGTAAAAATAACAATAAGTTGAAAAATAACACCGACAGAAACGACAGTAACCATGAAAAAACAAACGAATACGAGAAAACCTGAAATACGAAAATAGCAGGAAACCCAAAAAAAAAAAAAATGCGGTTGGAAAATATGACAACAACCTTAACAAGACGACTTCAAACCGACAGCAATACAAAAACCGGGGCTTGGAAGAACTTCAAACTAAATGAATAATGGGCAGATTACTCAAGTTATGTACCTTTTAGTTTCAGTTTTTTTGTTTGTTTTTTACCGTTGTATTTGTAGTTTGTATAAACATTTAGTTTAAACAAAATTGAAATATACATATATAGTTTGTAGAAACAAAATTGAAAGTAGGAAGAATACTTGTGTAATTAACCCAAATAATAATTGATAATTGATGGAAAAGCGACAGCAAATGGGAATCACCAACAACCCTATATTGGCAACAACTGTAAATTAAAAATAAAAATAAAAAAAGGAAGAAACATGCCTGCAAATAGAAAGAACATCAACAAGAAAACGACAACCTACAAAATTGGATAAACCACCTAGCTTGAGAAAGGAAACAATTTGAAAAACGACGCTAACCTAAAAAAGAGACTACAGAAAAGGACAACAGAAAACAACAAGGATCTCAAACGACAGTAACCTTTAAACGACAGCTAAGAACTACAAAATTGGATTCACCACCCAAAATAAAATGAAAATAAATTGAAAACGACAACAACTACAAAATCGACAACCACAATAAACGATACTATAAAGAATACGACAACAACGTGGCACAACTCCAAGTAAAAAACAAAAAAACAAACAAACAAACAAACAAACAAACGACAGAGACATGAGAAAAGCCAACGCCTTTAAAAATCACAATAAAATTGAATACAACACCAACAAGAAACGACTATAAACTCAAACGACACAGACAAAAACGACAAAACAAAGATACGACAACATATGAACCACGGTCCACAATGACTTGAAAAGGAAACCTAGTGGTGAAACAACAACCTGAGAACCAATTCTCTCTTTTTTTTTTTTTTATAACCTTGTTAAACTCTCTTCCTGCACCTGGCCGCCTGAGTATTGGCTTTTATGTGCTGGTTTAAGTGAAAAAGTAAGTTTATCTCATATTGTTTGTTTTCTTTCTCCGACCTTCTTAGGACACTCATGGAGGCCATTTCCAAAGAGAGTTAAGAGGAGAAACCTTAAGCCAGTTGTTTTATCATTTTACCGTTCCTGAAAGTAATGAAACACTTTTCCATCCAGTTTTCGACGGATGTCTGACGGAAAGGCTAACTCTGTAACGCAAGGATAATTCGCGGGGATAGCCTAATATGTAAAAGTAAGAAACCAAAATAGGATAACTGTCAGAATAATTGTTATTCGAGGACCATTGTAAAACTAACCCTATTTTATATTATTTATAGATGTTTCGAACTGCATATAACATATCACATTATGTTACATTTATCCTAACAATGGTATTGAAGGTGCCAGGAAGAGCAAAATAGAATCAGAGGAGAAGAAATCAAAATTGGTAGTATTCGTTAATATATTCAATACATCTCATCAGCTATACGAGCTGAGAAGTAAGAGTGAGAAAAACAGTGCCTAGAATAAAAAATAACGATATTATACAAACACCGAATGTTAAACTGTCATCATCATCACCACCTTCGTACTAATGATGTAAGCAACTGCAACAACAAAGAAGTTTATATGAGAATAGATTGTAGCTAATTCTAATGGATGAAGAGCTATCAAATTCTAATACGTGAATATTGCGATTAGAATGTGGCATGCAAAAAGATCAAGAAATATTGACATATTTACATGTGAGTTTATTGAGTTTAATCAAACCGTTCCAGATTCACGCAAGTATCCTATTTACCATTCAAAAATCTTCTTCTTGTCTGCAAAGCACACAAGGTATATGCTTAGTTTTGTTTTATTTCGCGATGTGGGATTATCAAATGCTTCAAAGTCACAACACAATGCAAAAGGAACTCTAAAACGAAGCAGAGCAGTAATCTAGAGCAAGTAACGCGCATTTGTTAGTTTCAAAAGATTCTAAACTTCTCTCGATAAGAATATCAGACTCGGCAGAATCCAACACTAGCAGAAGTTCCAAAAGTATTAGAATAAATAAAAGATGCTAAGAAAAACTCTATTATTTTTCTTTTACCTCAAATAATTCAAATGGGCTACCGCGGCGGTACACGTCACTCTTCTTGGTTTTATCACTGGGAAGAAGATTGTACAATAGTGCTCTCCATCCAACGAGTAAAACAGCAGTGCTTCCCATGGTAACTAATATAAAGTTAAATGGTGGAAAATGACCCGTTGTTGCTGCTCTTATAATCAACCCCAGCTGCACAGAAAAGGGGTTTTGTAAGAGATATTGTTAGCTTAACATACATTTTAATAATATAGCTGAACAAACTAGCTATACTCTAATGGTTAGAGAATTAAAATAGATTAATCAGATAGGAAAATGAAATGCAAAAATCTTCGAAACAATAAACTAAAATTGAAAGGCAACTCGTAACGCAAACGCATAAGTTGAGACTAGGAGACAGATTCAAGTGATATTCCAATCATGAAATACAAAGAGTAACAATCACGATGAAGAATTACTTCGGAAGAGAAGAAACCATGAGTCTAGAAGATGCAACTGCAGGAAGAATTAGATTATAGGCAATGATGCAGTTATCAAAAGATAAATAGAACGAAGAAACAACTTGAAACTTAAGAGGGCTGTTTTTGATAAAATGAACAGTTGACTTTGAACATGTATGCCAATGCCAAAATGTGACATAACTCATTGGTGCTTTCATGTTGAACGTTCCTCCTCAAAATGTGATTTCATCCAGCTCTCTCATTTTACAGATAGGCATGGACCAATAATCAAAGAACGTTAAGGAAAATGTTAAAGACTTGAATGTCAAAAAAAAAAAAAGCAATAAATTGAAGAACCAAAACTGGCTTTCCCAAATAACAGAAATCATTATTGACAGATAGTTTCCTCCTAAATGGAAAGAAGAAACATCAACTTTAAGCTCTCTTATTAGTTATTACCTCAACAAAATCATCAATTCAAAAACCTTGGTGCAAACAAGATAACGTTTGAACTTACCGGGATTCCGACGGCCCACGATTTCGCCGTCACAACAACACCTTTCGACGTACCATTCCTTCCACGCCCGTCCTCCCCATAACCTCCGAGGAAGTAAGCGCTCAAAAACCACCCTGTTCAACCCTAATTAGCGTCTCTCTTCAAATTATAAAACAATTTTCAACGCAAAGAACGTAAAGTTTAAATTGTGAAGGCAGAAAAACAAGCGAACCAGCAATAAAAGGATCGGCCGTGCGAAGGGTTTCGACATCAAAAACAGAGAAGCCATGATTGAATCTTCCAATTGCGGCGAACAAAAGCAAAGCCAGAACATCACCACCGGAAAACAGAGCCACTTGCCTGAATCCAAAATCAACCGAAAATTCTCAAACAAAATCAAAATTTTCAAATTAGCCCCGACAAAACAATCACGAACTTATTAAAGTTAAAGAATTACCCCCATTTCTTGAACCGAGCAGAGGAATCGGGTTTGTCGAACTGAATTACGCCCTCCAAGGGGACATTCTCGTCGCCGACGAAAATCGTTTGGTCATTGCCGATAGCGGAAGAAGAGATCGAGCTTGAAGGTGTCGACAACGAGGGCTTGGCGGCGGAAGGGGAAGCGGAATCGAGGGCTTTGTCGGATTTGGCGAGCGTGAGATTAAAACGCTTCGTGGGGTTTAAGGTTGAGAGGGACTTGGATTTGCGGTTGGAGAAGAGCGGAGAATTTGGGGTTGTCGACGCCGGAGAAGACCTCAAAGAGCATCTTCTGGCTGACAGAGCTCCGCCTGGAGCTTGGCTTAGCACCAACATTCTTTTTCCCACTTGCTCGCTATTCTACCCCACCAGATTTTTCTATCATATAGAATATAATTTTTCTTTTAAAAAATAATAACAACAGAACTGGCATTGTTATAGCTCAAATTTATTACAGTATTTTTCTTTATAAAAATTTAAATTAAATTTTTTTAATATAGTGTTTTTTTCTCTCAAATATATAATTTGAGTGCTCAATTTAAATTGTGCAACAAACATAACCTAGGTTTCAAGTTCGTTTTCTTTTTTTTTTTTTTTTTTTTTTTTTGTTGGGTGAAAATATGGTTGGTTTGGGTTGGCGACCTAGAATTTGTGTCTTGTGGCTAGTATTCATTTTTTTATTTTCACCAAATGTGTATATACAGAATATATCTCCGGCTAAGACTTTGTTGCTTTCTTTAGCTTTTTATACTGAGGGAGAATAGCTAAAAACTCTTATATCATCCTCAAATGCAAAAATAACATGTTTAATTTCTTATTCTATTTTATTTTTCAATGTTTAATGTCATCCCAAACACTATATTTATTTGATGGTGTATTAGAATAAGATTTTTGAAATTTTTTTGATGGAATAGGATTTTTGAATTTAAATTACACAGTTATTTTAGGATATATTTTATCTTTAGGTGTCATTTAATATTTAGATTTATATTTATCTTTAAGATCGTTTACAATATTCTAATTATTTAGTTACACTATATTTATTTGATGGTGTATTAGAATAAGATTTTTGAAATTTTTTTTATGGAATAGGATTTTTGAATTTAAATTACACAGTTATTTTAGGATATATTTTATCTTTAGGTTTCATTTAATATTTAGATTTATATTTATCTTTAAGATCGTTTACAATATTCTAATTATTTAGTTGAGCTTATCTTTTTAATTTTAGATTTCTAAAATACATTAGGTAATGTAATTTTAGTTCAGGCTTAAATTGAGTTTTCAAATCGCCCATTGAGTTATTGTTCTCCCTCTATTAGTTATCTATCATAATTATGAAATTTTTGAAACTTATAAAGGTAAACTATTTATTTTAATATAATTAAAAAAAGAAAATTTCAATACATCAGACAAAAATGAATTGTGAAAACTTGGCACAGGCTGCTGGTGCCAAATTTAACATCAAATTGATATATGTCAATTTTTAACATTAAAAATAGCATTGCATATTTAACAATTCAATTCGCAGATTCGAGTTTTCAATTCGAGTTGAGATGTGACATTTTCTGAGGTCATTTTACTTAACAAAAAACGTTAGATTTGACATTTTTTGAGAACTTTTTACTATAAAAATCTAAAATTGAAAACTTAAATCGGTAAAATGAACGAAACAAATATTACCAGTTTTCATATCATTCTTTCCTCTTTCTTTTCGGTAAAATATTCAATAGAATTGGTTGATTATTACTTACAAACCATGGAGTACAAACTCCCTAACAGATGGGAAAATGGTCGCGAAGAGACCAAACTTCTGATTTTCGGACAAAAATTTTGACACTATCAACATTTTAAATGGGGAAAAACAACTTTATCCGCGTAATGGAAGCGAGTAAAACATGCCGCAGTAATATAAAACCGTTATTGTGCATTTTACCAAAGCTGGTTAGAGAGAGACAATATCAAATCCGTTTCTATTATTATCAGAGCGAATTGCACGCACTATCAAACTCTACTACAATTCTTTTCAGCCTAGTTAGAGACAGAACAGAAGTAATTCTTTTCTGGTTTCCAAAATATTGCTCTGATCCTATATATCATGTCTAAAACACCGTGGCACATATAAACAGGCTGCTCCTGTTTTATACAAAGGCAAATCAAATAGTAGCAGTATAGACAATAAAAGAGCACTGCATTTGGCTAGCGCGTTAAACCTGGTCGGCCGCTGCTCAATGACGTATTCCGAGCAGGCAGGGCGCAACAAATATGCCAATCGACATTCAAAAGTGCATAGCGAGACACGAACCAAACTACTATATTCTGAAATAACTAGTCACCCATAAGCAAAAGGGCATCAAACGGTTAAACGCAAAATTGAAAGCCAAAGAGTTACTGTAAGACTATTATAAAGAGATAAATTTGGACGAGCACGACGAGACCGATGTAAGAAATGAAAATTAGTTAAGACTAAAGCCATCAGACAGTAACGGAAATGAGATTGGAGAGAGACAGAAATTGCACTTGCAACCGCCATCAACCTACAGAACGTACCTGACAGGACAGTCAGATTTAAAAGCTTCGGAAGCTTATGAAGACGGCTGCGCAGGAGTTGATAAACTAGTTTTCATTTGCAGAAGAAGTAAACCAATAATGCAACTGCTTCGACTACAACCTAAAGTCACTGAATGTCAGTGCAATTATATTACAGAGATGAGAGATCTTAATCCTGTACTTGCGAATCCATAAACCCCACGATAAAGAGCATGCAAACAACATGTTTATGACTCAAGGACCCACATTAATTTTCAACCTAAAATCAAATTTATATAAAAAAAGAAGACCCACTTTAATTTTTCCCCCTTGTCGTGGGACTGTGGAGAGGGAAGGGCCGAAAAAAGAAAAAAGACAAAAAAAAAAAAACGTGGGGGAAAGAAAAGAAGACATGATCCTAGCGGTTAAAATGTACCATCCCTAACTCCATTGGCAAAGAATGTACTAATTCACAGTGCCCATGTACAACGGACATCAGGGTAGTTAACCAGAAATTTTTTACACTGACTCTAGAAAATATTTAACATCAGAACCTCTTCAACTCTGTTGGTTAGAAGAATCACTGTTGGAACCTTTCAACCTCACAGAATCAACATCCACCTTATCCACTTCAATTTGATGAGACACGATATCCCTTGGCGCCCCATCACCCGCAACAACCTGATTTGACTTCCCATTCACCCTGGCCTCTCAACTCCTTTGTTACCGCCTGTTGCCAAACCGAAAACTCTACCTGCACCATTCATGTAGGTTGGATAAAAGAAAGCACCGCCATAAGGAAAAACACATGCCCTTGAGCCATCACCAGGAAAAACTGGAGCAAACCCATTACTAACTCCACCGTATCCTCCAAAAGGATACCAAGCATTATAACCTGGAAAAGGTGCATAACTAGGAGGAACCCAATATCCAGGACTATAAGGAGGGTAAAATCCCGGATGATAATTGTTATTAGGTGAACCTCTTCCATCTCCATTTTTCATATAGTAATTGCCATTACTGTTATTCTCCTCCTTCGGCACAGCCCTCTTGACCTCAACAAGCCTACCATTCAACTCGTGAAAACTATTCCGCACAACATTCTCAACAGAATCCTCTGAAGCAAAGGTTATAAAACCAAATCCCCTAGGTCTGTGAGTTGTGCTGTCATGCATTACCACTACATCTGTTATAGTACCAAAGCGTTCAAAATAATTCTTAAACTCCTCCTCAGTTAGACTAGCTGATAAACCCCCAACAAAAATCTTCTTAGTCCTAATCTGATTTTTGATACTGTCGTTACTACCGCTACTCTCACATAGACCATTACTTTGCTGCTGATTCTTGGGGCCACTTCTCGGAATTGCTTTTTTCACTTCAACCTATAAGATCATGGAAAATTGATAACGAATCACACTTTAGAATTAACACCTCGTCTTAAAAAAAAATTCAAAATTCTGTTTGATTTCTGGAAATTGAGGTGCAAGAAATTGCGATTTTGAATAAAAGAAAAAAAAATAAAGAAAAAGGAAAAATAAAGAGTTCAACTAATTCGGTAAAACAAACAGAGATTTGCACTTCTAACTCTATTAAAAGCTCTTCTTTCATCCAAAACTTCAAATTACATACTTTGAAAAGCAAAACAAATCGAGAAAAAAAATTGTCGAAATTGTACAATTTAAGATCATGAAAATTTGATAAGGAATGACACTTTAGGATTTCAATCTCTCCTTAAAAAATAAAACATCAATACTCTGTGGTTGGTTTCTAGAAATTGTAATGCAAGGAAATTACGATTTTGATTAACAAAAAAAATATAAAAAAAAACAATAAAGAATTTAACCAGTTGGATACAACAAAACAGAAGGACGCATACAAATTTTGTAATTTACCGAAAGAGAATCATCAATTAGAAGCAAAAACTCAAAAAAAATCCAAAATTCCACTCTTTTTTTTCCCTCTAATCTTCATTCAATCAGCAACCAAACAGAATACAAAAAACAAAAACCATAATAGAAAAGGACTGAGAAGAAAGAAACTAACAGTTCTTCCGAGAATCACATGGGAATCATTGAGGGCTTTATCAACAGAAGAAGCATCAGAGAACCACACGAATCCAAAGCCCCTAGGGCTTTTGGTAATCCTGTCCTTGGCAATCACCGATTCCAAAACCGTCCCGTACTTGCCGAAATACTCCTTCAATGAATCTTCGCTCGTCTCCCGCGAAATTCCCCCGACGAACAGCTTCGCCCGATCGTTTTCCATTCTGAATCGAAAGCCCCAGAAGAAAAGCCCTCTTCCGCACAGAAACCTAAAACCCTAATTTTATATTCCCAAAACCCTAGCCAGAGAAAAATATCCCAATCTTCGAGCCTAATAAGCTTGGAGCGGCGTCGTTCTGGACCACAAAGAGTGAAAATCAGTGAAAGAGAAGACCCTTGAAACCAACCAACGTTAAATTCTTCGAAAGAGATTTTGGGAAGAAAATACCTGATGATGTAAATTGTTGACTTTTATATAGGTTGGGTGATCCAATGGCTCTAAGGGTTTGGGCTTATTGTTAAGTTCATGGGCCTTTTTGATCCTCTTTTTTTGCTTCTCTTGAATTTTGAAAAGGATAAGCATTTGAAACTGCAAAAATATACCCCTTTATTTCCAGTTAGAAAAGAATTATCTAAAAATTTAAGAATTAAGTTAAGTTTATCTTTCTGTTAGTTTAATTAAGTTAAGTTTATCTTTCTGTTAGCTTTGATTTTTACGTAATTTTTATTCTAATTAAATGAATATTTGAGTTTTTAGTTTTCTTTTATTTTTTTTATTTTTGGGATAAGTTGTTTTGTTCTCTCTTTTAAATTTTCTATTTATTCTCTCTTTTTCTTAGTGAATATTGTATCTGTCATTCAATGGAAAATGTCTTTTAAGTACATCAGATATAATAGATGGTGGAACATCTTTCAACCACACCATATCTTCTTCTAGCCTAAGACCATGCTTAGCTAAACCATGGGCTGCAAAATTAGCAGACCTAGGAATATGGTTAACTAAACAGTCAGTGAAACAAGAAAGAAGACATTTAAAGTCAGATACAAGGTTCTCAAACTTGAAAAATTATGACAGTTGGAATGGATAGCACGAATAATATTTTAAGACATCTATAAAATTAAATGGAAAGCTAACATCTATAGCCCAAATAAGCCTGTGACTTTAGAGCAGTTGCTTCAACCTTCTGAGAAGAGAACTTTCCATCTAGAAGATAGGGCAGCCATAACAAAGCCTTCACTATCTCGAATTAAAGTACTAATTCCAACAAGACTTTCTTTCGAAGAGATACATGTATTGACATTCATTTTATATTATCAATGCTCCTTTTGCTGACAATGAGATTAACTTTTTAGTAGTCTTTTAAGAACTTAGACGACCATGAAGGAATATAAGACAACTCTGATAAAATGATTATGAACAAAATCGTTTCTTTCATTCCAGATTGACCAAAGTAGGCATAAAAAGAATTCAAAGCTCCCTTTGTTGTATGTATATTCAGCATGGTGAACAAGATCAATAAAAGACAATTTTGAGTCTTTCCAATGCTAGGTTGGAAAACCAACAACATTCCAAACTGGTGGACAAAATTTGCACCATATGAGGATATGCTGGACTCTTTCAAGAGATGACTTACAACAAGGACAACAATATGTGGAGAGAACTTTCGTTCTGAATAGATTGGCAGTTGTCGGTAACCCGTCATGATAAGTCTTCTAGAAAACTGTCTTGATTTTTGGAGGCACATTCAAATGCCAAAGGGCATATTCTTTTACCTAACTCAAATCACAACTTAAACTTTTTACTACAGTATTTTCTCTTACAAAAATTTAAATTTAATTTTTTAATTACAGTGTTTTCTCTCACATACTAAACTCAAGTTCATAACTCAAATTTGAGAAAAGAACATACCCAAAGTTTCTTCCACCAAATGTCAAGATCAGCAGAAAAACTCTTATTCAAAAGATTAAAAAACTTTTGTTGAAGAGACTTATAAACTCTATAAAAGAGACTTATAAACTCTTATTCAAGAGACTAAAACCTCTTATTCAATAGACTAATGAACTTTCGTTGAAAAAACTTGTAAACTCTATAAAAACGACTTATAAACTCCTATTCAAGAGACTGATAAACTCTTAAAAAGAGACTATTAAACTCAAATACAAAGAGACTTGATGTAAATAATTATCAAAACAAAATTTAAATATAAGGATAATTAAAATAAGTGGATATATAATCAATAAAAGGTATCAACACGACTTTAAATAAATTAATTAATAGCAGAAACTATATTATTAGAATCACGATAGTATGTACAATTAGAATTGAAACCCAGAATTCTCCATTGAACTTCTTGTCGGAGTTTTATCAAACAGTTGACATATCAATTTATAAAAGCACCTAAAGATAAGAAAAACTGAAAAATGTAAATAAACTCCAAATTGAATAATAAAATAATACATCTACTCACATATGAATGTTAAAAGATAAGAACTGAAAAAAAAGAAACCCAATAGAGACAATTGAGTGAAAAAAGAATCTAAACGAAGAGTAACTGATAAGATATTAGGGAGTAAATTTCTTATCAAATACGAATTACGAAGACCAAATTACCAGAGAAAGAAGACAAGTAAAAATATAAATTCACTCTTACGAAGTTATCATTCAAGCCCAAAATCTAGATATTGTTGTCAGTTTATTGTTCAGAACTTAATGTTGTAATATCCAATAATTATATACTACACATTTCTAACAAAATTTCATGTTTATTGTAGGACTTGGAGAATGATGCATATGAGTTCCTCTAATCCAAACACAAGAGAAATAGAAAGATATCGACTTTAATCTAACCGTCAATGAGTTCCAAATTTAAAATCAAATAAAAAATCCATGTACATAATCGTATCAAGAGACAAATTTTGACGAATAAAGGGAGAGGAATTTAACCTCATTGGACGTCGACAACAATTTCTGGCATATCTGTCCTCGTTAAAGTCAGTGTTCTCCGTATCATTCTCAGATGCGACACTTGCAGACTTGCTCCGCTCTTTGCGTCGTCGTTGGTGAGTTTTGGGGTTCTTTGAAAAAGTTTCATGGAGTGTGGGAAAATGGAAGAGGGGGGAAGAAAAGGAGAGTTTTTTGTTCACATTTTCGTTATTTATTTTCTCTTATTCTACTTTACTCTTTTTAGTGGTTCTATTATCTTCGTAATTCTTTTTTTTATCTAGATTAATGTGTTTTTTTATATATATCTTGATCCTACATAAACTAACTTTAATTAATGAAATGTCTTTAATCTTGAATTCTAAAATAATTTTAGACTATCAAATTTGGTTGACAACATTGTGAATACAAAAACCGTACATATTTTAAGATTATGGTGTCACAAGTAGTTGAGATTTATAGAAACAAGCCAAAGCCAAATGAGAACAAAAGAATCAAAATCTATGCCAATTCTGTTATCGGTCAAGAACAACAAGTCAACAACCATGGCTTACTTGTTGTTTTTGCTTATAACATACGTCTTACATTCTAGGGCTGTTCACGATCCCAAACTGTTTGGTTTCCAGACCACATCGTTAATAACACTTTTTAAAAATTTAGACTGGACTAGATCATTAGTAAGATGAGACCGAACCGAATAAAAAGTTTATTTGACCAAGTGAACCCTTTGCTCCAGTCCCGGTAAACTCTCTTATCGAGAGAGGGTTCTTTACCCTGTTCGATCTCCCAGGCGCTGCCAGCGTAAAACCATCCGTACTTCCATATTTTATTCGAGTACGGGTTACCCTTGACGAAATGACCTTTCGGGTGGCCGAGGAGGTAATACCAATATTTGACGTAAAGCATATTCCTCACTCGGTACACGTACTGGATCACTTTTAAGGGTATCTCGGTTGCATATTTCTTCATCTAGAGCAGCTAGCCCCTGATCAAAATCCTATACGAATTCGTATTGATTTGCTTGGGAGCTATGTTCATTCAGTGCAAAACTCAGCACAAAAATGGGTGAAGTGGTAATCTGAAGCCTGCTCAGAAGAATTCCACGTACATGGTGACATATCCGGAAGGTGGCTTGGTCGGTCTGTCGTTTGGGTCGGGTGCCACTAAACATATGTTGGAAGGGATGTTATAGCACTCACGTAGCGCGTCGAGCATGTCTTGGGTCACCCGGCTCTCAAATTCATCCGGATGATGTGGCAAGGGGTACTCGACGATGTCGAGGTCTCTGAGCAACAACGGGCTCCTCGTGTATGTCCCCATACTCATCTTCATCCTTTTCTTTAGTATTCAACACGATTGGTCTGGATGTAGAAGCTGGTTGTTGCTCAATGACCCCAGTTCTTATCCCCTGCAGTCTGCTGCTCGGATCCTCGGGCCATCCCTTAGCGAACATTGATTGCGCCCGATCTTCAACGGTGACGTCAGACTGGCTTACTATATCTGAATAAGTGTAGTGACTAAGAAAATCTCAGAATTTTAATAATGTAATTCATGTATTTGAGTCAAGGATTTTCCTGGAAAATCATTATACTATGTACATTTTGTGATTGAAGGATTTATGAAATTAACATCTGCATTCCTAAATTCTGTAGCAGATTTCACGTTAAGTTCACATTTTTCCGATCAAGTAAATTCGATCGATAAATTCTCACCGTACTTTAAAACGGAAGAATTTCCAGTATAGATACAGTTAGAGAATCTTAATTTTAAGAATCTCCCAGCACAGTACAACCTAGCATCCAGAACCCGTATACAAGAGAAAATAACTGTCAGTATAATTTTGGACAGTTTTAATGAGTAACTTAAGGGAATGGACAAAAATACAAGGTGTAGGTTAGTGTGTGTGATTTGATGAGATGTGATGAGAGAGGTGAATAGGACTAATGATTAGTTTTTTCTCCTTTTTCTCTTCACTTGGCCGGCCATCCTTAGGAAGTTATATCCAAAAATTTTGGTTATATGTTGAGTGTGTTAGAAGGCTACAAGTTAAGGTGATGGGATGGTAGTGGTTGAAGGGGAATTAATGGCAATTTTGGCTTCTCCTTTTCTCCTTCCATAACCGGCCAAGATTGGGGGAAATTGAACCAAAATTTGGTTGATTGAGAGAGTTGATGTGGTGTTAAAAAAAAATAATTTCCAAGTGCCTATAAAAGGAACCACCATAGGATAAGCCTCATTTTTTTCCCTAGCTTTTCTCTCCCCCTCAAAATCCGGCCATACCACACTCCCCCACTATTTCTCAAATATTTTCTCCTACTCTCCCAATCTTGAGCCACTACAAACCATAGAAGAAGAAGAAGGAGACCAAAGGGTCTAGGAGGAGTCTAGACAAGCATTTTTTTCAAAGGGTATAACTCTAAATCTTTTTTTTATGTTATGTTTTAGTAAAGTTTGAAATGTAGAAATATTCCTCTTAAATTTCCTTATACTTTCTAGTTCCAAGCCAATAACAAATCTTAGAGGAGTTCAAAGTTTTCAAGGGAGAGAGATAGTTCTTCAAGGGTAAGCTCTCAAACTCTTCTCCATTAATTTCTAGCCAACTTTAAGCTTGGATTTGTGGATGTAAATTTGAGGTTCTTGAGGAGATGAGTTGTAATAAGGGTGTGTGAGTTTTATGTTGGTCTTGTGAGTTTTGAGGTTAGCTTGATGTGGTATGTTTATGCTTGATTTAAGTTGCTTATTTTC